CCCCCCCCCGTACGTTCCCACCCCGCCCCAGGCCAGACACCCGACATCCCGCGCGTAGGATACAACATGTGTGCTCTGCTCTCCGGCCTGCTGGCGCTGGGCGCAGGGTCTCGGCCCAAACCCAGGGATTTCGCCGCAGGAGGACCACTGCGCGCACCGCTGGCCTCAGCGGCCACCTTGCCCGCAGCGGCCACCTCGCATGCGCCACCCGCCTGCATTTCCGCGGAGGCTCCGCCTCCCGCTCGCCCCACTCGCCGGCCATTGGGCGATTTAGGCTCCTGAGGCTCCGCCCCCAGCCTTGAGCCAAACCCGCGTGGGCTTGCGCAGCCAGGCGGGGGCGGGGAGGGGCCGGGGAAGCAGCGGCTCGCGGCTGCTGTCCGCCATCATCGGTCCGGTGCGGGAACCGAGGTCCGCGGAAGCTGTTCCTTCACGCGTGAAGCGCTCCCGCAGGGCGCGTGCTGTGTACCTGCGAGCACACCCTGCTGCCCTGAGGCAGGGCACCCGCTTCAACGCGCTTGGCCCTGCCAGGCGCCCCGGGAGACCCCCTGCTATCTGGCCAATGAGCGTACTCGTCCCAGACCCCGCCTCCTTGAGCCGGCTGTATAGGCTCGGCCTGGGCCCGGCGACGCGGTCCACAGGGATGGAGGGCGGCGTGTGCGATCATCCTTGCACCGTACCTGCACTGCTGAGCCCAGAACTTTCGGGAGACAGACAACGGATCCACTTTGCAGTTTAGATGGAGCGCTTCAGAGGGGATTTTGTGGAGGGAAATTTGTCATCAGAGGGGTCACAATGACAGAGACGTCAAGCAAAGAGCTGGCACTGGGAACAGGTCTGATACATGTGAAAAAGCAGCATGTGAAACCATAGTCACAGAAGTCCCAATACAGTACGTTCTCAAGGTTGCGCACAGGAACCCTACAGCAGTCCCACCTAGAAACCCTCGGGATTTCTGTGGGCCCAGGTTGGGTGCTTTTAATTTCTGTGTTTTCCTCAGGTTTTCAGAAGGGATCTCGGGGGGCGCGCCCCTCGCGGAGCAGCCGGCGTCGCGCGACGTTCTTTTTTTTTTTGAAAAATTTTCTTTATTCTAAAAACAATGCCAATCTCTTTTTCTGAACATGGTCACATAAAAAACA